ATCTCTAGTTCCTCTCCTTCTTCATGCCCTATATATACTATGTATATGTGTATATATATATATATAGATAGATAGATAGTATATATATATATAGTATGTATATATATATATATGTATATGTATATAGTATATATATATATAAAGTATGCATAGTATATGTAGTATATGTAGTATATAATATATTTACACATATATATTACATCATACATATATAACACTATGTATACTATCTATACTATAGATACTATGGATACTATATTCACTATATAGTATACTATAGCATATTATACATATAATATAGTATAGTATAGTATAATATCATATAATGTAATATAATATAATGTAATATAATATAATATATACTTATACAATATATATATATATATACACTATATACTATAAATATATATATATATACACACTATATACATATATACATATATATATACACTACATATACGATATGGATCTGCGCCAAAGCCCTATTCTAACTGTCAAGGTCCCTTATTTGAAAACAAAGCTAAACCTACAGTCGTTAAACGTCCGAGAGCTGAGGAAGCAAACGATGTTGTCTTGAAGGGGACGTGATCCGAGCGGGATCCCTCTTGCGGCAGTTTGGGGCTGAGGATTTTCGGTTGAGGGTTCTAGGTTTAGGGTTTCAGGTTTCAGGCGTATGTTTAGCTCTATAGGGTCAGAATGAACATTCAACTAAAGCTTCCGATAGCACCTACAAGCCACATACGTATATACATCTAGACGTGTATATGTATATATATATATATTATTGCAATAGAAATAACAGTACTCAGAGTAAGAATAATGATAGTCCTAGAAGTAATACTAAGAATAGTAGTAATAATAGTCATACTAGTCATAGTAGTAATAATACGAATATTACTAAAAGTACGAAAGTACGAGTAAGAGTAGTAGCAACAGCAAGAGTACTAATAAATGTATAATCGTACTAGGAATAGTAATAATATTTTGTAATAGTAATAATATGAAACCTACGGTGCCGGGGGCCCGAGGACCAGGGGCGTGGTCTTGCTATTATTGTTCTTCTGATTCTTCATATTGCCTTCCTTCCTTCCTTCCTGCCTTCCTTCCGTCTCCCCTCGTTTCTTCTTCTTCGTCCGTCCCTCCTTCCTTCCTTCCTCCCCGCTTTCCTTCCTTCCTTCCTGCCTGCCTTCCCGCCACCCCCCCCCCCCGCGGAGGGACCAAAACAAAAAAGGCCAAAAACAAACCAAAAAAGGGCCAAAAAAAATAGGGTCCCCTGTTAGGCTTGGTTATTAGTTCGAGTTGTCCTCTGAGACGCTCTGGGAACCCGCGCCAAGGCATCGGCAGCCTCATCACGCCTCCGTTCCGAAAGGGGTCCACTGAGCAGCCGATTTGGAGCTAGAGCAATGCGACAAACAGTTGAAAACGGATGCAGGACCAATCAGTGCACAACCTGCCCAGCGAATGCTAGGCAGCTTTTCAAGGGCATCCTTGCGGCTCTTGCGACTTGGGAATCCGGACAGACCTCTGTATGCCACCCAAGGTAAGGTGAATACTGAAGTGTTTGCTACCCACCTTGTACAGAACTCCGTCAGGATTCCAGTGGCTTTTGAATTGAAACGCTGGCTTTCAGCGGCTTCACATCTGCAGAGTTAGCGGAGCATACCCGAGTCTCTACATCCCTTGTCTAGGGATGCTGTGCGTTTCAATCTCAGGCTGTCAGGCAGCTAGGCAGTTCATGGATGTGGATGCGGGTTTTCGGCTGCCGAGGTTGCCCAATCGAGGCTCGTCTTTACACCAGTTTGTCACAAGAAGTACTCAACCGGGGGCCTGCCTATGGCTGCTTCACCCCGACGAGGCGCGGGATCAAACTGCACAAAGTGAGACCCTAGCCGCTCATCAATCTCCATGATGGCGGCCTGGTTTCCGGAACCTGAGCGGTGGCCGCCTGGCCTCGCCTGGCCTAGCCTGACCGGTGGCTACCGCTGCTGCCCTCATTTTGCCAAGGGGCGGTAGCAGTAGTTTGGCGCAGAAAAGATAGTGACAACTTGCTGTTCCTCGGCGGTCCCGGGGCGAATCAGGGCCATAGCTGGTGACCTACCGGCTTCGAGGTCTCTGACGTGATGCGATGACGCGATGACCGTAACGACGTGACATGTTGGCCACTGTAGTGTCTGGATTTCTCGAACATGACATGCTCCAGACTCGGCAAACGCTGTACTGCCAGGCCGGCGTTGTCAACATGAGTTGCTGTGGGAGGTCGCACGGCAACTCTAGACTCGAGATTCTAGATATGAATTCTGGCACGAACTGCACCAGAGAAGCATATGCCCAAAGCCACACACACGTGTCACACGTGTCGACTTTCGCAGCAACCATATCCAAGACCTGCGAAGAAATTGGCTGGAGACAAGCTTCATGGGTCCAGTTGTACCCTTCCATGACCAGCTGGTGCGCCCTCGCGATGAGGTTCAAACCTGACTTGCATCTGAGTGCATAAGGAAACCAGGTAACATTTCGATTGGCTGGAATTTGTGGGTGCTCGGTGCGCCCAGAAGCCGTTCGACTGGTTGAACTTCTCGGACACATCCTGCCCGAAGGTGTAGCCCGCACCTTTCCAGAAGATTCCAAGAACATCCAAGAACACGCAATAAAAACAAACGTAGCCGTAGTGAGTGAGTAACTGCCGTTAGTGCAAAGTCCCTCCGCTTCGAACATATCCACTCGCCTCGAGGACTCACGCCCCAGCCGAGACGATCGTCAGGATCACCTTGGGTCGCTGAGCAAAGGAACCACAGGAATGCATTTTGGACCATCAAAGACCACATGAACCACCTGAAGCAAACATGCTTGAGCATGCTTACGTCTGTCTGTTCTCTGTGCGTCTAGAATCTAGAAGGAGCTGCGCGATATCTCGACGAGCCAAGATGCTCCAAAGGAGATCGCACATAGCGCCTTCGTGTGGCACCTCCTGTATCCGATCAAGCTTCCTGACCTTAGTGTGAAGAGCTCGTGAAAATCTTGCAGAGACCGAAGATGCTTGTCAATGATGCTCTCAGGAGCGACAAACAACGGCCAGCATCATCACCTCTACAATCTACTGCAGCTCCGTGGACATCGTCTAGCTTCTCGATGCTCGGTGAGAGGCCTGGTCATGCTGCAAGCAGTTAGGCCAGAGGAAGGCAGCGCTTCCGTTCGTTGGTGCACTGGCTGCACTGCTACGTCTCTAGATCTTCAAGCTTGGAGCCTCCATGCTGTGAGAAAATCCGGTTCTCGACCAGGGCCGTCAAAGGCAGATAGTCGAATAAATCGGTGAACATCTTCCTCGCAGTCTGCACTGCACTTCAGTGAAAGCTCAGATGCAGCGGCCTTCCAAGCCCGATCATTGCGTCCGTAGGAGGGGAATGCTCAGGGCACTGCTCACGCATCAAGTTTCCTTTTATTCCCACCCTTTCAAACGATCGTCGGCATCGCTGATATCAGCGTGGCTATGACAAGTATGACTGCGACGTTTTCTCTCACGATTGCACTTTCGCTTCTGATTGTAGTGATGATTGATCATATGGCATGTCACTGTGCACATATGACGGTAATACTCATGATGATGGTTGAGATGATACTAACGAGGGAGTATTCTGGGTGGGCAACAACATGGTAGGAGGGAAACAGATTTGCTGAACCGTCGTCAGAACCACCAACAGATGCGTAGATCGATAAAGCCATGGTTCCACACACTTTGGCTGCCATACTTCCGAGCGCACTCGTCGAAGAAGCCGTAGATCTGCGTGATCTGGCGACTCTCCTTGCTCGGAGAAGCTGCTTAATCACAGTGTTGCATGCCAGCCCCGAGCTAAAACGGCCCAGAAACTTTCCATTCGCTTGCGAGGCGCGTGGTTACCCCGAAGAATGGTGATCCGTTCCCGGTACCGGACTTTGTAGGCCAAGAGGAGGGACACCTCAGATCAGGCTTGTACGTTCTGTCTCAGCTTGTTGGCGAGATCTAGCCTAGCGCTCAGGACTACAAGTAGGAGGATTCCTGGCTCGTGTTACGTCGGGATGTTGGGCTTTCAATTACTCGCAGCTATCTATGCTTTGTCTCCACACGATTTGCTACGACATGTCGCGATCCTAAGTCTCCACCTCTTGCGGCTCTCCAGTCTTTCAGGAGCCATCCATTCCTGTTTGAATTATCATGCAGTACTGGGCACCACAGTTTGAGCAAAGCTGCGCACTCTACCGAGAAATAGCCTCGGTCGACGTAGTCCCCGAGGAAGAGATAGTTTGTGTCGGGGAGGAGGCCCCCTATACGGAAGAGCTCCATGAGATCATGGAACTGGCCGTGGATGTCACCTGTTGGCCGGCTGTGCTGAAGTATACCCTGTCGCAGATTCCGACCGCACAATATCTACTCAGAAACAGGAACCGAGAAAAGATTGGTCTGTGGCATTCCCAGGCCAGGCCTGATATCGTCACAGGGCATCTGACCGGCTGCACATTGCTCTCCTGGCGATGCTCTTTGGAAGTTTCTGCTAAACTGCTCTGAAGCCTCATTTCAAGAACCTCTCCACAACCCAAGAGGCAGCCGGCCAAGGGTTCGGAGAGTCTGCGAAAAAAAGTGCAGATGTTTTGGCAGTGTAGAGGCTGACAGAGCTGTTGGCCGACCTTCGATGGCACAAGCTACTGATCCTGCCAGAAAGCAAGAGCGCCAATCCAGAAGAAAGCTACAAGTTCGATGAGGTTAGACTCGCAAGACTGACGAGTCGCCCTACATTGGGTGGGGGATGAGATGGTGACTTTTAATGATAATGAATATATTATGGGGTTTCAGGCTCCCACCGCTGTTTTTTGTGCTGGATGTGCTGGGATCCTTTGCGAGCCTAGCCATTCCTTCATGCTAACCCTTTCTTTTTGCTGGGGCTCTTTGCTTGTGCTGAAAGGGCTTGTTGTGATAGTGTTGCTTCTGGAATTGGGGGATCCATTCGCAGGTACAGGAACGGAGCACGGACATCTGTGGACCCTAAACATCTCCACCTACACAGCGGTCGACATGTCAATGCAGTGTGGTTATGTGATGTCTATATACTACCGATTCATGATTACACATTGATGCACTGGGTCTCCTCGGCCAGGATCTCCCGAGCCATTTCTGTGAGTTGCTTCACCTCACTCTCGGAGAGGTGCTTGCACTCCATGAGCTGCTCCTGAGCTGGAGCTGGGATGCTGTGCAAGGTGGGGATGCTCATGATGGTTCCCGACGTGATCGGAACAGCCGCCGCTAACATGCGACAGTCGCAGCACATCGAACATCACCCCATCACCAAGACGATGATGATTGCAATATGGATGATGACTACTGCTCATAACCATAGGCCGTCGTGGCGGCAATCCTCCCAGCACTGTCTGCACCGGCAATCGCAGCGGCAAGCTTGAAAGTCAACACCCACCACCATCACCACCATCATCGCAACCCATCTCAAGCTCCCCGTAGTCGTCCTACAACTGCTCGCCTCACTAAGCGTCCCACATTCGTAGGCGTACAAACCATCTAGGGGGGGTTTTGCATTTGGCCAGGATCGGTCGGATCGGGCGCTTGTCTGTCTGCGAACTCGGCAACAAACCTCTCAGCTCATCATCCGTCACTTTGTGCGGGTAGATTTGGAAGAGTCATGATGCTGTTGACTGCTAAATCACAAGCAAACGACCACAGACTCATTACCAATGACAAAGCAAGTGTATATTGGACTATGCCTATGCCATGCAGTTCTAGCTTTGCTCATGGAATTCCTGGTCCAGATGCTCGTTCGGCCTCTCCTTCGACACTCTGAGTGCAAATCCGTGGGCGTCCGAAGATGTTGCCGTTGTTGCTGCTGCTTTTGCCACCAAGATGTTCATGCCGATTGCTGTGCAAAGGTACCAGGGCTTGCTTTCATGCTTCTGGAAACAAAACACTTACGGACTTACAGGTCGTTACGGGTCTGGAGTGCTCGGGGTCTGCAGCCGCATAATTGCCGCACGTGTCGCTTGCTGAGCCACTCAAGAAGCCAAGGGTCGATACATCTGTCTATATCCAGTCTTCTGGGGCTGTTGGGCCCCAGCTTCGTCTTGTCGGCCATGGGGCTCCCCCCCGCCAGGGCCGCACATGGGTCGCCCTGACGGGGCCCCAAAATCATTCTGAGCCAGACAGCCGCAATGAACAGATCATTTCGACGAAATTCAACTGCTCATGGGGCGACGCAAAGGCCCAGGAGGACAGATGGATCTTGCATCTTAGTGAATTCCACTGAAATGCTCCTATAGCCATTCGGAAAGCTTTGACTCTCTTCCTTTCACGCTGCTTCTCTTATCCGCCCGCCTTCTCTCAAGCTCGCGAAGCTGCTGTGCCAGCTCCTGGCTAGACCTCGTATGTGGACTGAGGCCAGGGCCTTTGCTGCCGTTGTTCTTTGTAGGGCGTGTAGGCTTTTTGTACTTTGCGCCACTCATCTGAAGCTCTTGGGCTCCGGCTGAGTTGAAGCTTCGGCTGCGGCCTCCATTCCAAACGGCTTTCGTCTTCAATGATCCAGGGAGGAGTCAAAAGGCGGAGGTTGTTTTTCTAACGCTGACGGTCCCCGGTTTCACTTGCTAACGCTGGCTCTCTGTCGTCTCACACAGCGAGGGCAGGACCCGAACCCTCACGGATCATCTCATCCTGTTTTCGTATGCCATTCCTTTGGTCTGGCATACTTGGCACCAAAATTATCATCTCATCTTCGTCGACATCATCATCATCATCATCATCATCCACGACATCATTTTGTTTCATTCAACGGCGCGCTGTACCCAGGAACCAGAGCATTCCACCTATACGGCAGAGGTGCAAACAGCATTACCGCCAGTGCAGCCTTACTTACTTGCTGTCGTCGTTGTTGTTGTTGTTGGTGGTGGTGGTGGTGGTGCTGGTGCTGGTGCTGGTGGAGGTGGTGGTGGCGGTGGTGGTGGTGGGGGTGGCGGTGGTGGTGTTGTCGTTAGGTCTGTGTTGTCGTCGTTGTCGTTGTTGTTGTCATATGTCTTCAACGCACCCCCTCTTATGGCGCTTCCCGTTCATCATAATATATTTTAAAGATACTCCTCATGTGGCGATTCCGGTTCATCATATACCTTAAACACGCCCCCCCTCCCTCCGTTGGGCGAGACCGCTTCACCATGTTATTATTAAACGCGCCCCCTCATCACATATCTTGAACACGCACCCTCGTAGTTTGCCAATTCCCATTCTGCACTTTCGCTAAACTGCTAAACCCGCCCCCCAACTTTTCACAGAGCAGCCCCCCAAATTGCAACCACCATGTCTCTATCAGGAGTTCTGAAAGGATCCCTGTGCACGATGTTTTTGCTGGCAGGATGTCATTTTGAAGCGAACTTGCACGGCGGCTTAAACAATCTGCCCTTCTCTGACGAAGAAGCGCAAAACACCTGAGCTTGTCTTGTTCTGTGTGAAGGATTGTCGATGGTGTCTTGATGCATGCCTGGGGAGGTACTTTTCATTCCGTGCACACACACACACACACTCGCGTACTTAACAGACACTCCAGATAAATTGTGTTGTTGTTGCTGTTGCTGTTGCTGTTGCTGTTGTTGTTGAGCATATATCTTAAACACGCCAAATCGTGTCTCGATTCCAGTTCGTCATACGTCTTAAACATGCCCCTCATTTGGCGACTCCGGCTCATCATATTTCTTACGCACGTCATGTGGCGATTTTGGCCCATCATAATATATCTTAAACACGCTCCCTCATGTTGCGATTCCGGTTCATCATATATCTTAAACACACACACACACACCTACCTTGCCCTATTGGGCAATTCAGGTTCATCATATATCCTAAACACGCCCCCTCATGTGGCGACCGAGGCTCATGACATATCTTAAACACGCCCCCAATGTCTTAAGCACGCCCCCTCATTTGGCGATTCCGGCTCATCATTTATCTCATTTGCTAAACCCGTCCGCCAACTTTTCACGGGCCGCAGCCTCTAGGCCAACCGTACCAAGGGCCCCCTACAAGAGCCAACGTTAGGAAAAAAACCCAGGGCCCGAAGTCAGAAGACTCAGGCCACGAATGCGGCAGGATTCATAGCAAACGAACATAAGGTCTGCCTCCAGGGCTTCCAACTCTTGTCGGTGGCTTTGGTTTTCGTTGTCCAGCACCTGGTGTAGCCTCGGCAGAGTTCGCCGACTCACGCGGTACCAGTTGCAGGAACTTTCCGGAAGTGAATCGAAACCGAGCTGCATGCAGTAGGACTGCCCGGACACTTCGTACGAACCGAATCGGGAATCTAGAAGCGTGAGAATCGCATTGTGGCAAAACCGTCAACTCGCAGATCACAGGAAGCTGCTCTCGTAAAGCATTTGTGTGCAATAGCCTCCCAAGGCATCTATAGGTACGTACGTCTGCACGAACAAACGAAGGAATACAGGACACTTACGGTGTAGAAAGAACGCATCTGTACATGCATAAAAGCCAAGGACATACGGTGCTTGATTGCTGGATTTCCTGTTGTACTGCGCCATATTGAATTAAGCTTCGCCTTGTTTGCTCGTTCGACTCATTTTCCAAGAGCTCTGCTTTACAGGTTCAGTGCATCCGGCGTGCTACGGTAAAGTGCACTACTGTGCGCACTGACTTGCTCATCCAGATATCATGGCCACAGGCATTCAACCCATGCAGGCAAACAGTACGATCATATGCGGTCACAACCAATGTGCGGTCGATTCTTTTTGTCAGGGGCCGCTTGCAGATCTTTGTCTCGCTGCAGCCTGCTCGCCAGTCGTTGGGCGTACCTCGGAAACTCTGCTGTATTTGCACCGGTTGTCACACCTTACGACTGCCTGGCGTGACTTATGCTGCATGCATGAGGCAATAGGAAGGCAAGTGTGCGTAAATGAAGTGCAGATCGCACTGGTGCTTTGCAGCTGAGGCGCAACCGAAGCAGCTCCTGTGCACGGGTCGGGATTACTGCCAGTTTCTAGCATCTTGAAGCTGCTCCACTGCAGGCCATGGGCCATGGTGCCGTGCGTAAGCCGATGGTTTTTGCATTATATATATATATATATTATACCACACACTACATACACCTCACCCACGTCAATCCTCCGAACGGCATGCTGCAAACACGTCGCCGACGGTCTCGAATAATTGCGTGACCTCACTCCAACGGACCTCCCCCGAGATGTCCCATTGACCCTCCCTATGGACCGTCCGGCTCACTATAATTTGGAAGCATCCTCGTCTTTCTGCGAGTCCAATCCTCAGTACGGCTCTGGAGCCCGTCTACGCTTTAGCACGAGCACGAAGACATCAATCTCTTCAAAGCCCGCGGGCAAGGTTTCCACCCAATGCACCTCACTAAAGCGATACGTTAACATCTCAGTGCACCGCCAGCAACGTCATTGGCTTTGACAGAATCGATTTGGTCAAAGGACCGCTTCAATGCTGATCTGCCCTCGACAGCTTTGCACTGCGGCAGCAGCCGCACGGTCAGTAGCATGGGGCAACCCAGTGATTTTTTTCGAAGCCATGTGAAACCAAGCGCCAGGAAGGCGGCCTCCACCCAGAATGGCTCGACAGGTCTCAGAGACGATTCACGAGTTGGTAGGCCGCCTCTGCCAATGTGTCGCTACGATGCGGCTCTGGTCTTCAACACTCTTTGGGTTCTATGAAGGAGTTGTGTTGACGGTGCTGAAAGTCAGTGTATACGTCCCGCGTGAAGGCTAGTGTCAGCGAAGAGTGTCCTCGGTGAGCTGGGGCGGATTGTAGTCCGCACCTAGCACCTGCCCAGGGTTGGATGTGGGCAAGTGAGAGATATAATTCTTCGAGTCTCGGGCCCTATACAATGATTAGCAGCCTTGGTGGCTACAGCAACGGGGCATGTCACGTCTTGCTGTGTTCAGTCCACTGAGCCTGCTGGAGGTTCGCATCTCCCCAATCGTCCGCCACAGGAAGGCTCCCTGCCGCAGTTAGTTCTACTGAGTTCTACTGCTTGCATGGTGCACAGCGTCCAAGCAAAGCCTGCAAGCAAGGGCTCCAGCGGCGCCATTGGATTCCTTCGAGGATGCTTGCTCGATGAATCCATGACTCTGTCAGCGTCTTCCGCAAGACTTTAGGACCTCCATGTGCCTCCCCTCAAACTGCAAACAACGCCATGAGCATGCCGGTTTCCAAGCAATAGGGCCCAATAGGGTGTTCAGTTTAAAGGATCTGGGCTTCGGTTGCTAGCGCGCTTGGACACCCTTGGACGAGACACATGGTTGCAGTGCAGGTCTGGGAGCACCGTCACTGGTGTCAGTCCGGCCACATACGAGAAAATAGATACATGCTGCTCTTAGCGGCAAGTGTCTCCGGATCGTCTCGCACCTGCGAGGCTTGAATTCTGCCAACCCAAACACGCAGCACTAAAGAGCGGGAAAACATGGGACCCAAGAACAAGATCAGCAGCAACAACCCGACTAACATCGACAACACCAGCGACATCACCAGGACCACCGGCAGTTGGAGGACAACCTGTCACAACATAGCGGTAATGGCAGCAGAGGCAGGGCAGCGACTAGACTAGCATATCGTCACTGCTGACTTTTGCTAGCACGTTACTACTGTCGTTGTCCTGCCTCGCTTTGGTCATCAAGAACCCTATTACATGTCCAGGTGTTGTAGTACAAGTGGGCAGACATGCGCAAACACTACCAGACACTGCCCTTGCTAGTACTTCTCAAAGACAGCAACAGTAACGGTACTGCCCAGGTCAACACTGCCAAAGAAGACAATGCACAAACGATGGTGATGACGTGGGCGATGATAGGGCAGGGATCATCATGAGGTTGAAAATGATGGTGGTGATTAAGAAGATGATGCTGGTTTTGATGTCACTGTGCTTGGCCCCTGGGTTCGATACATCTTCGTTCGCCGTTGGTACTGTAGCAACCCTGGACAACGATACTAAGTTTAGGCCTTGGGGCTAGGACTTTTATGTATTGTTTGACGCTCCTTCTGTGCATCACTGCAAATACTAGGCGAAGCTAGCTACAGTACGCTTCACGCTTCTTAACACCAGTTTGCAAGCTCAAGCCGTGAAGTTTCCTTCTACCCACTTGCCGCACTCGACATTTTACTCTTTTGCGAGTGAGACAGAGTTAAAGGGAGAGAGATGGCAAGATGGAGAACGATGTTGGGAAAGACAGACGCACAAACGTGGAATGCTCGAAGAAAAGAAAGAACAATTGAAGGATAATGCTTTATGTTCTGTGTTGCTTGTCATCCTTAAATACAGCAAGGCTTCATATTCGCATTCATGACCTCAGCACATGCCGCTACATGCCTGTAGATAGATAAAACGTACACACATACACATGAGCACGATGCTGCACGATATGAAGGCCTTCTGCCAGAAGATCTGCACCGGTACCGGTGGCACGCGAAGGAGTGTCGCAAGAGCAGCGTAGCTTGGACTGCGTGGGTTGTACACATGGAACGAGCGGCCCAGTGCAGAGCTCTGCCCAGCGGCCTTGACGATCACCTGCAGGAAAGGGCAAAAAAGACTTCCGAATCGGCCTCCAGTGCCAAGACTACGAGCCCACCTTCGCTGCATAGTCCACAGGAGTCCAATCGCAAACGGCGTCAGACTCCGGGCAGCATCCCAAACGAAGACAGCTTTGCAGAAATCGATCAGGGAAGAAGTCAGCACGACCGGCTCCTGCTTCGAAGACGGCAGGCACAGATTGCCAATATCATGTCAGATGTCAGGGGTTGTCAGCAGTGCATGTCTGCAGGCATGCTTGCGTGGCAGTACTTGTGCATATATTGTGGTGCTATATATGACGGGACATGTATTGACAACCACCGGGGGCATCGCGGACCGGGGACATCTGCAGGCCTGTTGTGGTGCTGCCGCACAGCATGCCAGGTCGAAAGATTGCACCATGCAGACCGCGCGAGAAAGCCTTTCAAGTGGTCATGTATGAACCCGGAAAACACGGAAAACGACTGCTTCAGTTCAAGCTCCTGAAACACCTCCACAACCCAAGCCAAGTTGCAGCCCGCACGAAAGCTTCAGCAGCCAGTTTGGTCAACACGTATCCATTGTGCAAATCCTGCACACAAGAACGACGCGTGTGCTTCATAGTCATGGCAACGGACTATCGGCTGGCCTCGCGATCCTTCGTTCCGGCTTCACCCGCCGCCACAGAAATCGTGGAGATGTAGAACAAAGGCACGCCTGCAAAAGCCAGGCGGTGACAACGCCAATTACCTGCGAGACCGACCTACCTGCCCACGAAACCACAAATCACTAGTCACTAGTAAGTCCGAACCAACGCTCAAGATCGAGACAACCGATGCCTCGCTGCATCGCCACTTGGACCATCTGCCAGGTGCCAACAACGTTCGTCGGTCCTTGACTGAAATGTTCCGGCTCATGAGGCTAGTGGCCCTGCATCTAATCTACGGGCGGTAAAGCCTGCCATGGCTCGAAGCTGTGCATAGCTCAGGGCCCAGTTTACCACAGCCGCAGCGTGGAAAATGGCATCCTCAGGTTAAGAAACTTCAACACTCGACACTCACTCTAGGAAGGGAAACTGATGGAACATTGCGCTGCGCCGTCCTTGGAGCATGTGCGGCAATCATATGAGACCAAAGCACAAGACGCAGCCGGTCTCCAAGGGTTAACAAACACTTTGTTTCTTCGACGGCCCCGGCACCCACTCACTCCATCTCACTCCTGCGTGCGTGCGTGCGTGCGTGCGTGCGTGCGTCTACATGTGTGTGTGTGTGTACATATGACATATACATACATATATATATATATAACTAGTTACATATACAAAGCTATGTGTGTGTGTGTTTATAGATTCATTTTACACACACACACATATTTATGGATATAGGCGGACCATATATACATGTGTATACATACATACATACACACACACATACATATATATATATATGTGTATGTATGCATATATGGCAGTTGATCTAAAGCTCCTTGTGGCATAATTTATATGAAACGACAACTGCATAGCTAAATATGCCTGCGCGAAAGTTTTGCGTTGGTTTTGTTAAAGTTTCTTCCTGCGGCAGTCATTTGTGTATGCCTTCGCGAAAGTTCCGCGTTGGTTTTGCTAAAGTTAATTTTTTCTGTGAAGAAAGACATTCCGGGATGAAGCAATTCAGATCAACAACCATATGTGTATATATATATATGGCCCCACCCCGCAAGATGCACACCGTACCCAGTACGGCTGCTTGACGGGGCAGCCGCTGTGATGCTTTGTCCAACCCTGAGACTCATGCAGTATTGTGGTCCAAATTTCTGGTATTAATAGCTGGACTTGGCGGGGGGAATTGGGGGAGGGTCGAATCTCTCCGAGCTTCGAGATTTTGCGGATTTTTTGAACATTAATAAGGTGCTTTGAAAGTTTGGGGTTGGAAATGTTGGAACCACGTTGAGCATTACACTGTTCGTGAGGTTCAGGACACGACAAATTGAAATGCTGAATAATTTGAGAATCGCAGAAGTTTGCGAGATTCAAGGTGCGAAACACTGTAGTTCTGAGGAGTTAGTTGCAAACGTTCCAACTTGAATGTCACCAAACAAGGTAGTACTCAAAAGCATTGATGGCTGGGCATGGAGCGAACGATCTTTTCCCACATGTTGTCTCTAAGCACCACAGTGTTTGGCATATTTCAGGTAGGCTGGATATCTGGAATTGCTTGAACATTACAGGACTTCGGGACTGAGATTCAGTGCACGAAACATTGCATTACTCATTACTCAACTCTGCATTCTTTTCAATTATTCGTAAATTTGAGCATTGCAGCCTTTGGTGAGGTTCAGAGCCCGCAAACATGAAACGAAGCGGTCTTAGACTCGGAAAGTGGGACAAAATTACCAACGTCAAGTCCTGGCAAGGGCTTGTGAGGGTGTGCCTTTCACACGGAACTTGAACGAGGCTGCTACGGGAGCGGTCAAAGTTGAAACTCTACTCACCTGTACAACTGAGCCATACCTGAAAACAAGAGACGTTTACAACCGCTGCAGGAGAGAGAGCGATAGAGAGACAGAGGACAGAGCTACACACACACACACAAACACAGAGACTTAGTTCAGTTCTTTTGGTGTTCGCACGGGGCCAGATGCCCCCCCGCTTTCTATACTGCCACATTTTGAGTGACCTGCTGCGACACTGTCGGAGGAGGGAGAGATGAGCCAAGCAACGAACTTTTTCCCTTCAAGTTCGGTGCCAAGCGATGCATGCGACACGTCCCCCAGCACTTGCCTCGGACGGGGGTGCAGACTTGCTGAGGCTCGAGGACTTTCTTGGATGTCCACACCCAAAGCCTTCCCGTGGAAGCTGGCCATGTCGAGTTACTCCGCGGCCACCGGCAGCTCGCCGTCATGTTTTCGCACGAGAGCCTGATCGACTGTAGTTTCTCGGTTGCACTCTGCAGCGCCAGGAAAATTCAGCTTCTTCTTGCGCAACCAACCTGAAGATATGAAGCACGCTTCGTCCTTTACAACCACTCCTTCAATCCCGAATCCAGCTGACCTGCACACCGGCTTATGAGCCAGGTGCCGGCAGCATTTCCGGAACCTTGCAAGCATCCGGCAGAAACCTTTCAAGCACAAGCCGCCACGGGGCAACCACCTTCTTCCCATCTGCCAGCAAGCTGGCCACCAGCTCGCGGCCGAGCAGCCCAGTGGCTCCCGTCACAAGGAAACCTCATGGCAGCAGAACGGAACAGAGACGTCTCAGCCATGCGAACGTAGAGAGGGTTGGATGAGCTTGGTTGTTGGAGTAGAAGGTAGCACTCGGCTGGTGAGCATTCAGTGAACCAGCGGCTTGCATTCATGGGACGGTCCAAAACCACATAAAGAAGCCTAGGATTCGCACGCACTCAAGATTTTAAGCGCAGCGACGCTTTGCCGAGACGGCGGCTGGTGGCACCGCCACGGCAGGGGCGGCGGCCAGGTCGGCCTGTTGCAAGCAGCCGCTGCAGCATCGGTTAACGGTTACCGGGAGCAATAAAGGGCTTTATACTTACGTACAAGGAATAACATGCACACGCGGTGAAACATGGGCCGAGTTCCAGCACACTGCAGTCGTGTGGGCATGGATGCCTTAAGCGTCGGTCTGCTGTTACTGCTGTTTGCCTTGATGCACATCTCTCGCTGTGTTGTGCAGGTTTGCTGTGGGATTCTGACCTGGTAGCAGCGAGGATTTTGGTGTCGGTGGAGAGAGCAACCCGGAGGCAACACCGACGGCGCCTTCACCAGCTCTTGAACAAGCGCAGCAGGCTGCAAAGCAACTCCTCGCCGTCTTGCCTGCCACATTGCGTGAAAGTTACTTCCGTGGGAATCGGTCGGCGCAGTCACCATCACGCAATGCCAAAGTGAATGATGTTCTGTAGACCCCCATATCGCCGGCCCCGAAAGTGGGCTGCAGCTCAGTTCGTGGGCTCGGGCTTGAAAATAAACATCTCTAAGACGTCTCAACTTCATACATGGGGGCAGGATCTCATCTCTTGACCCTCCCGGTGATGCACGTATCTCCACCACGGCACAAGCTTCCTACCCGCGAGACAGCCAAGTCCGCGAAACTTACGGCCCGCCTCGGCCATGAGCCGAACCTCACTCAAAAGAGTTTGGAGTCCAGGAGGCGGAGAGTCATGAAGGAAGAGGACCCCTTTATTTATTGGACACCCCGCAAATGCCCAAAGTGGGGTGCAACCTGTCGTGACTCTGACTAAATCTTGGCCAGGGAGCCATCTCCATAGAGTCCTTGGGGCGCTCCAAGGTAGCAGACAGCAGCTTCTCCTTGTAGCGGGCCTTCAGTGGGAAAGGCGCAGACTGCGGCACTCTGACCCCAAAATACCAACCAGCGATTTGGAACTGGAGGTAAAGCTCAGTGCTTCCCTCTGCGCTCGTCATGTCCCGTTTGCTGCATGTCTTCTGAGACTTCAGATCAGCACACACACACACATAAACGTGCAGCCTGCAAGGCTGAGTGTTGTGGTTGCATCGCAGCACAACATGAATGTCAAGTCGTCTGAAAGAAGACCCAGCAACCAGTACGTGCGCACAGACACAGACACATTTGAGGGACACATGTATGGGACGAGGCTGTGGTGAGAAAGTCGGGCTTTGATAACAAACCAGCCCCCTCGGAATTTCTGTTCCGATGCCAGGCGACAAGCAGAGCTGGGCGATTGATCTTCCTTGCTGCAAGGCGAATCCGCAGATGGCTTTTCATCCCAATACCAGTCCGAGCAATGGATCGAGCCATTCAGCTTGCTACAAACTGAGCGGCATCTGATGTAAAGCCTGTGCAACTTGAAGGGCGTGACTCACTTGACATGCGTGTGGCAACGTCCCATGGCAAGCTTAGCGGGGAAGTGCCGGTAAGCATCTGGTTCTCGAGCAGCCCACCGTTTTGGAATGTCCACGGCTGGCTTTCGAGAATGACCCGGGACACCTCGCATAGGCAGAGGTTCTTGCGACACACTCTGAAGCCAACAATCCGGCTGCCACCGGAATGACGCCATGCACGGCTGTTGAATCTAGGGGCACGGCCACCTCGTGCTTGCCCAGCCCTTGCTCCATCGCAACTTGCTGCATCTTGGACCTTGGCCATGAGTTTTTCGCAAATGAAAGTTTCAGCTGCGAGACCGAGGACGGGAGATTAGGGTTCATCGTACAGCAGAAATCTGATCCTCTCTCGGCCTGGAACTATGCCGAAACAAACCACAAAGCATGCAAGAATCCGGTCACTGCAGGATTGCACAGCTTCTGAGACAACAACGTGAAACCAGTCAGTGCGAATAGCAGAATGAAACTTCCAAGCAGGAGCCACTGGCTTCAAGCATGCCGTGCTCAGCTCGGGACAAGAGTTGCTTGTCATCCAAAGAGCTCCAGCGCCGCACGACACAGGCTGCCGCGACCGTATTCTCCTGAATCGGCGCTCGCTGTTGCGTTCTCGGACTATTGGCTGGATACGACACGAACACCTTTGCTGGACGGTGTCCAGCATGCTTAATGCTTGCCAGCACTGGAACTTGTCACCACGGTGTTGGTGCCGAGAGACTTCGGGATTGGCAATGATGAAGACTTGGTCGAGGTCCTGGATGAGACTGGCCTGGCATTTGAAGTGCACGCTCTGTGTCCCTCTCCGGCAGCTTAATTGCCGGGGAGCTAAACCGACCACCCCCAAACGGCAACCGGCCAAGCAATTGAAGCGGCCCAAAGGCCTACCCCTGCACTGTGCGCGTCAGTACGGCGGAATGACCCCTTCCAGGGTTGGGAACGATGCTGTTCCCCTGTATGCGCCTTTGCTACCCAGCCCCCAACAAACACACCACACATCTCTCGCTCTCTCTCTGTGCATCTGCTTGTCTCCGTGTGCGTGTAATTATGCGTCGCAGCCAGCCCGCTGCTACATATACACCAGAGCCGCGGATGTGCATCGACAGCTGCAGCTAAGTACAGCTGGATGACTTCTTGTGTGCATCACGTGAACGTGCAGATAGCGTTCCCGAAACCACCTGTGCTGCCCGGGGGCATATCTCTCTTCAAGACCCTCGGCAGAGAGGAACAATCCATTCGCCATTTTGGCGACGTTCCCGACACGGCCTGCCAAGACGCGGACTTTTGCAGGCAACGAGATGCCCTTCTCAGTCAATCAGACCTATACAGCTCCTTGAAGCTACAAGACTGTGGCAACAAGCCTTGCGTAAGCGAAAACGACCGTGAGCTGAATCCGCTCCGCCGAAAAATCTGCAACTCGCGGCTCGTGCATGTAAGAGCCTAAAAGCTCCAAGAAGTCGTCCTTGTAGCAGCCGATATCACCTCCGACACCATGCGCGAGAATTAAACATACCACGCGCAATCTCGTTCGCATTATGCACATCTTTTGACCACCGACTGCTCAACTCCCTTAACAAGTAGTTACCTCAGCCGCTCAACGATAGCTTTCAGAAAAGATTCTCGAATTGCCTTTAATGCCTAGCCCTGCGATGCCGGGTCGGTCTGACAGAGCAGTAACACTCAACTGCGGGGTGCGCGCCGAGGCTGTCAAGCCAATGCGACGAAGTTGCCGGTGCAATAGAAACCGTCCTCGTCCAATGCAAGCGTAGCTCCGACATATGCTTGAGCTTGCACACCTGAGAGCACAGCAAGACTTCATAGTTTCCTCCTTCGAAGCCCGTTTTTTGGAGCATCCGTGCAGACCGGTTGGTGTTCATCTCGAGCATTCAAACATTCTCAAACTAAAACAAACTCACGGCAACAATGCGATCTGCTTGCTTCACGACACTTCGTCAAGGGAACAGGCGTGCAGTTTGAATCGGGCACAGATCACATGTGTACTTCTCTCTTTGCAAACATGCGACGCGTGTTCTTGCAGCGTACCCGGATCTCACCCGTGATGCCTCCTAGGCAGGCATGAAAGCGCGCTACTGAAAAAAAAAACATCGTTCACGACCTAGTCGTGGCCACACGTGATGTCACGCGCTTGATGTGCTGCTTGTTTGGATGGTGATCATTCCAATGCATCCAATGTTCCTGGGTCGTGGCCGAGAGCGGCCAAGGGAACTATTTTCACCTGCGCGTTGCAAGGCCAGTCTTTACCCGGGAACATGGACACCTTAAGTGGTTGTAAACTTTACAGGCCGTCTCTTCAAACAACCCACTGCACTCATCTTGCCTGCAACGCAGCAAGCAAATCTTCGACCAAACGTACCAAACAACCCTGCAAGCACAACTCCTCCACGTTGGGATTCACGCGGCCGTTGTGAGCAATCGGGCCGACTTCTGTAGCTCCGTAGCCTTGGCCATAAATCAATCCGACTCCCACATATTTTGTGAGCTCGTTGGAACGACTTCAGACAGAAATCGATTGCTCCAAATGTGCAGCCGAGCTTCTGTTTGTCACGCCTCATTCAGAATTATCGAAGCCGAAAGCTACTGGCAGAACTCCGAGGTTTCGGGGCACTACGGGTAGGGCAAAGCTCTGCGACCTGGGAGGCCAAATGCAGACCTGCGGGCTGCAGCTGCACGACTCAAAGCACAGCCGCAGGAAATCGAAAAGCCTTCCGGCCAGGCAAATTCAAAAGGCTTGCGTTGTAGTTGCTGTGAGCGGCTGGCAAACAAACCAGCCGAGAGATTCAAGAAGCTTTCTGCGCAAAGACATGGAATCAAGTCGCGAGTCCTCTTTGTCACCGGCGCACTTCCTGTGGAGAGGCTGTGCAAGCGGCCCCCAAAGCTCAAGCGCAGCTCCTGTCGGCACTTTCAACACGGCATCAGTGTGGTCTTTGGAACACAGTACTGATGTCCGAAAGCAGGCAAAGTCGGTCGGCAAGTCGTAATGCAAAAGACAACGCAAACCATTTCCCTCCTCTCCCCAGAGCTGGCTAGGGTGCGCTGGGGGTCCTCGAGGGTAGCCTCCTTGCTCTCGTAAACGCTCAGCAGCGGCTCGAAGAATCGTGGAACTCCTGGAGCTGGTTGCCAGGGGTCTCCGTGACTCACGAAATGTGCGAGTTGCCCCCAAACCATTATCCTTGAATGCCGGTGGGCTCGACGATCCGCGCATCGGCGTAGGCAGTCTGTGCGCTGGAAAACCTGGAATGAGTGTGAAGGCACTGTGACGTGGATAAGTGTCCACTCGTTTGGCACTGAATCAACGAACAGAGAGTCCGTGCAACTCAATCTCATTATCATTGTATGTACTAGAGCTAAGCAGCTTCGTGCGATTGATAGAGTAATCACACCCCCACACCCAAGTCGTTGTACCAGGACCCCCCCCCCTTCTCCGAATATACATTAACGGGGCCGGGTAAGCACAAAGCCATGGGTTTGGGGGGGAGTTCGATCTGGGCTCTTCACAGCATGGACTCAACATGGACTGCTGACTGACTGCTCGAAAAGCCTGCTCAAACCCAGAACACCCCTGAAGCCTGAACCCAGAAACCCTAAACGCGGAAACCCTGTACTTGAACTCAAAAATTTTACACCCAAAATATCTGAACCCACAAACCCTGAAGGCAAAAACCTTAAGCCCAGAATCCCAGAAACGGTAAACCCAGACACTTTAAACCCAGAAACCCCAAAACCCTGTTGTTTGCACCTGTACCCCAAACCTTTGAACTCCTGGCCCAGAAACCCTTAACCTCTACATCCCGCAGTAAGCCCAGAAACCCTGTACCCAGAAACCGTAAACCCCCAAACGCAGAAACCCTGTACCTCGGAAGCCTTCACCCGGAATTCCTGCAATAAACACCTGAAGCCTGAAACCCAGAAACCTTAAACCCAGAACCCCTAAACCCCTGAACCCAGAATGCCTAACAAGATAGCCAAAACCTTAAGCCCCAAAAACCAGAAACATTCAGAAACCCTGAAGCAGCCTTGAACCCATAAACCCGAAACCCCTCAAGCCCTGGTCTTGGGGAGATAGAAGGTTTGGAAACGGATGCAACGGGGATCCCAGCTTTTTGGGGGCCTGGCTCTGCTGCTCACTGCGTGATGCGGGTCGTTTTCCGGAGCAGGGCTCCGCAAATGTTGCTACAAGCATCCGAAGAAGACCTAACCCAGGAACCCGTTATTGCCGAAACGAATGTACCGAAACAGATCTATCCCCCCCCCCCCCCCCCTCGCTCCGCTTGTCGGCATTCTTAACCCACGGCGATCCAAGACATCCGGCAGAAATGTATATTCGACCCCGGTTGCAATATTAGTTTCCCAGCCCAACCCTTGGAACGTACATTTGGAATTGGCGTACGGCCCCCCGGAATATAGATTCTTGGACGTGGTCCGGTAATCACTCTACACAACCGAGATTCTCTGTTCTGCACTGAGCAGCGCCACGCAAGCGCCTTGCAAGAAGGCTGCTGCCGTGCCCAGCTGCTCATTCATGTGCGAATAGGGCTGGTAGGCAAGGTGGCATGGGCCTCGGCAGCCAACAACCTGCCACAAGTAGTTACCCCTGCCCGGTTTACAGTTTACAAAACACAGCCAAGGGTAATTAAGAAGCAGCAGCAACCATTCCCCGAAACTGCCGTCGATCAACCCCACCTGAAACCGCAAAGGGTGTGACCATCGCAAAAAACTTCCGGGTTGTTTAGCCGTGGATCTGTCAGGGGTTGATGCTTTCGCATAGAGCCACAGAAAGGAGTAGAGCTCCTCATGGTCACCTGCGGTCGCCAACGGCTCGTACATCAATTGAATAGCCCTTGTTCTCAGACAGGCTGCGGCGGATGGCTTTCGGAGTCCCCGTAGAACCGGAAGTGAAGATCCTCAGCTGCGAAAATTATTCGGAAGTATGTTGTTCCAAAAGTAGGGGTCGCATGAAGGCATGTATTGTGACAAGCTTTTTTGAAACAACCCTACCTGAACAATCCACTCAACTTGCCGATGCATGCCTGTGGACACGGCTGCATTCAACAACCTACAACAGCTTGGGGGCTTCGCGGCCCCTCCCGCGGGATGGTACCAGTAAGTGGTACTTGTGCCGTTGCGCGGACTCTTATAATCTATTTCATCCATGAGCTGGCCCGGTCATTCCGCCTGAGGTGGCCCCACTCCCCTTTCCTAAAAAACTCATTCGTTTCAAATCCCTGGCGCTGCAACGCCAAGCCACATGCTCGCCGATCTTCGCAGTGATGCCTGCGGCCCCTCTGGACGGCGCAGGCCTTGCCTGCGAGACCAAGCTATGAGGGATAAAGTCCAAACTCAGGAGAGCATGCACGTGGTTGAAACACTAACATTAACATGCAAGGGTAGGATCAGCCATGCAGGCTTCAAGATCGTGGGAGTCACTCTGGCTATTTATTTTCGGTGCTGGAAACTGGGCCGTGGGTACACAAAACCGACAAAGCCCGAACCCGTCTGAAGCCTGAAACGTTGACTTCCGGGGTCCAAAGTCCAAAGCACCGCACCAATTCTCCGACTTCTGCGGTTGGCAGATGGGGCACCTCGGTCCAAATCTCACAACGGCAACAGTGCTCATGCCTATGCAGGGGAATCTGTTCGAAAAGGACCCCCTTCCAAGACACCGGAACAGGGGACTAGGATTTCGAGGCGGAGGAATTTTTTTTTTTCTTCGTCTGGCTTGGCTCGGTTTTTTTCTTCGTCTGGCTTGGCTCGGCTGGCTTGGCTCGGGGCCCGTTTTTTTTGTTTTTTTCTTCGTCTGGC